GTATTGTCTGTCACATCAATACAGACAGATAAATTAATTAATAAAACAGATAAATGAAGTGTCTGTTTGTACTTTCGAAATAACAGCTTCTTCCTAAATACACATGAAAGTTTATACGTACTTATAAGAGAGAAACGATTTTTAAAATTTTTGTTTATCTGTCCTATTTTTGTTCCGGCTAATCTCCGAAACGGCTGTACCTAGCAGTTTTAACTGGTTGATGTTATAAAGAGCAACTTAGGCAACTTTTATTTTAGAAAACGAATTGAGATTCCGCGCAACAAAATTAAAATCTATGAAATTGTGAACAAAATCTTTATACTTATATATATAATAGCGCACTAAAAAGCATAAACAGATCTAGCCCACGGGAACCGTTCATTTTTCCGGGATGAAAAGCAACCTGTTGTTTGACCGGCAATATGAGGTATCAGCATACCAAATTTTACTAAATTAAGTGCATAAGTTGTTGTGTACTAAGCTGTATAAGTTACTATAGTTCTTTAACTAACCCACGGATACTATTTAATTTTCCGGGATGAAAAGTACCTAAGATGTTGCCCAAGGATATAAGGTACCACCATGCAAAATTTCATTTAAATCGGTCCAAAAGATTCGGAGATTAGGCCGTACAAACAGGAAAACAGACAAACAGCTCGCTCGGGTTCGTCCATACCTACGAATATGTTGTATTATCTCTTTAACGATTTGTCCAAATTTTATGCAGTAAAAGGGAAAAGTCTTTCGTTTTAAACATTTTAGACGATAAATTTACTTATTTTGATAAGAATTCATAATTATTGATAATATGACCAATAAACATGACCTACCGATTTAAATTATATTTTTAATATAAAAAGCTACTTTTTGTGACTTAAATATAAAAGTTAGACATATGCTGTTGCTGACTTTTTTGTAGATATAATTAAGCTCTACAACTTTTCTCTAGAACATAATCATATATCTCTCATCGTTAAGGCAGCGTTCGTAAGAAACGTTTTCGTTCGACCGTTTTTTCTCCGACTTACTTTGCAAATCCGACTACCACGAAAAAGCCTTTTCGTTCTTCGGGTTAATATATAGCCTATGTTACTCAGAAAGAACGTGGCTTTCTATTGGTAAAAGAATTTTGAAAATCGGTTCAGTAGATCCAGAGATTACCCCCTACAACGTCACAAACTCACAAACCCACAAACTAACAAGATCACAAACATTACCTCTTTATAATATTAGTATTGATATAGAGATTATTCGTTTATCTCTGAAACAACCCGACCGATTTGAAATGTTTTTTGCATTATCCGGCCAGTTTATTGAAGAAGGCTATGTGCTTAGAACATTTAGAAGTAGAGCAATTATACATAAATAAACTAGACTGGCGAAGCTTTTCTACATGTGTTGTTAATTAATGATTCAGACTGAATAATTAATTAACAACAGAGTTAAAGTATAATGTTGAAATTATTTAATATATAAATATCTCGTGTCACGGTGTTTGTGGTCGCACTCCTCCGAACGGCTCGACCGATTTTTATAAAAAAAAAATATGTACATTTGGTAAATATGACAATAGGTCGTAAAAGTATTTTTTACCCTCCTACCCCCACCCCCTAATTTTTAAGCCAGAGTTTTCTCGTAGATTTTTCTTTGGTGGATGTTTAGAATTGAGATTTATCCGTTAGTGTTTGATTTCGTCTATATGTTTGAGCGCTCATCACGTCTTTCTCTTATTAAAACCCAACCATTTTGTTCTAACTCTATTTGGATAAAAAATACAGCGTGAATTTCCGTAATATGCTGTCCCAACTGTACCAAAATGATCCCATCATTTGTACACGTTGATAATAAACATACAAATGGGTACGATGCTGCACGAAAAAGCTTATATTAACATAAAATATGCATATTGTACGTATTTCTTAATAAACAAATTGCTAACTTCTCACACGAAAAACGTCGGTAGTGTTAATCCACAAAATGAAAATGACCTTGAACTTGTTTGTATTGGAAGTGACGTGACTAGCAAACTGAGTTTTCGTCAGTGCCTATAATTTTGTTAAAACTTTCAGAATTTTTATCCTGATTTTTTGATTTCAAAAAGGAAAAGGAAATTAATTCGTGTATGTTATATTTGCAGGTATTTTACTCGATGTGTTCGCCAATTGCTAATCGATTTTTATAATTCTTATTCTTCTTGCATAGTTTAGTCGATGGTACGAATGTATTTTAAAATTAATTCTCAAGAGTGGAATATTTGATTTTAAATGATTTCGGATTTCAATATTTGTATTTAGGTTATTTTGTAAAGTTTAATAATATTAATTCTATTTATTTATTAGTTATTATTTTTTGTATGTGTTTAAACAGATTAATAACCTATACTATATATGTATGTAGTTTGTAAAGTAGCTACAGATATACATAGATGATGACATATTCTATGAAGTATAAACCCTATGGTCAAGTTTGGTCTCTTTGCTTATTAATATGATAATATTTAAAGAAAACATTATGGCGATGGAAATCAACGTTTAATTAAATGCACAGTGCCTTTATGGTTTTAATATAAACTATTTTCTCCACGGTTTTCAAATTATACACACAATATCATTGAAGCATCAATTATTTAACATGATTTATTACAACTACAATAGTATCAATTATAGTTAAACTGTATATATTTACCGATAATTGAAGCCAGAAGGCTTACAGAGTTAGTTACGCTCGCATTGTAACGATAAAACCTTACCTTTTATATTGGTGTTTGTTTTTTTTACAATCATCTGCTTTAGATTTGCTGCTCATGTCACTAAATAAAATATGAAAATGTAATCACAAAAGTCTCTCTAGCTATTGGCAATCTTCTTTTACTAGTAAATATTTTTCAACTACGTTGTATTTAAGATTTTATTATGAAATTGTTCTTCAATAAAAAATTTTTATTTCTTATCACACACCAAAATAGTACATACAGATATAGGCTTATTTGATTAAAATAGGCGTTAGGCAGTATATTCAAGGTTTTTAGAACTTTCAAATAAAAAAAAATTAAACTTGCAATAAATGTTAATGATTTTTAAAGCTAGATCGACACAAATAATATAGTATGTTCTATAATAATTAATACGAGATTAGTATGACTTTGTCATCAAACAAACAGTCTCGTATTACTGCCATATACATATGTACATATCGGATTATTGTCGTATATATGAAAGCTTGTATGTTTGTGTGTGTATGTTTGTTTCTCCTTCATCCTGAAATATTTGGATGAATTTGGATGAGTACACAAACAGTCTCCGACTTGAAACAACGTATATATTACTATTAGATACCTAAGGATATACCCGACCGAAGCGAGGATAAATCGCTAGTTATAAATATATGTACACATATGTATAAGTGAAATACGTTACGCATTGACCGCAATCTGATAAAATGATATAAAAAATTAATAATAGTGTTCCTGAAATGAACTGCGCTCGGATCTAAATCCAATTTTATTTCCCACATTAGGTGCAAAATAAAACAAGAAGTTGGACCGCAACTGTAATTTTATTTACTGCATCCTAGTAAATGAAAAACTGGTTATGCCTCGAAGCCACTGTAATCTATATCTTAGTATACATATATTAAGTTATATTTTATATTATAGACATAGGCGTCCTATAGAAGTAGAGTCACCCGGGGTAAGGGTAAAAGCATTTCGCAACAAGAAAAAAAAGAAGTTTATCTTACCATACACGCAAATTAGATTAAAACGAGATATTTGTTTTACAATTATAATATTTACTATAAAGCAATACGCGATGTAAAAATAACAGTTCGTTCGTAATTAGATATTATTAGTAGAAATAATAGACGTAAATGGTGTTTAAATTGCTTCCTTTTAAACATTCAAGAAATTAGCATGTTAGTCGTCATTTTACTATACTTAAATATTTGATGATAATTTATTTAAATTACATATGTATATAGTAACCGCCTTTTGTGCACACTTTTAACTTTTGTGTTTTAAATACATACTTTGTTTTCTTGTATTTATGTAGTGTACAATAAAGTATATAAATTAATAAATAAAATAAATAATTTAACAGCTAGTATAGCGTAACTTAGGTAAAGGTTTTCGTAAAATGAATAAAATTACTTACATTCTTTTTAAGCTACATCAAACGGGAGGAAGTCCCTAATAATTGTTTCAATTATTACGTTCTGTGTGAACCCAATGTAATCGCATAGAAATAAAACAGACGGTTAAACTCTCTTCATGTTTACTGAAAATTATACCATTGCAATTAATTATGCGATACTGTGTATTAAAATACCAATCTATACTAATATTATAAAGCGGCAGTTTGTTCGTTTGTTTAAACGTGCTAATCTCAAGAACTACTAATCCGATTTAAAAAATTCTTTTTGCATTAGATAACCCGTTTATTGAGGAAGGCTATAAGGCTATAAATCATCATGCTACTACCCAACGGTGCGGAGCAGTAATCATAAATGTCAACAAATCGGGCAGACATCCGTACATTTTGTAAAGGGGAGGGAAAGAAAGTTTGTTTTTTTTTTGTACTTTGAACGCAAGCAAAGCCGCGGGTTCTGCTAGTGTAAGAACACACTGGAAATGTTTAAATAATTTTAAAACTTATATGTTAAAGGTTACATATTGAATAATTAGGTACCTATATTTAAAAAAAACTGTATTTCAATAATATATTTAATGACAATCGTTATGACGCGTTTATTTTGGTCGAAAAAAAGTTGTTATTGTCATATAAACGATGGTTGCTTTGACATATAGTCTTGAATTGAAAATTGCGTAAAATATTTATAAAATATCCTTATTTTCCAGTTTCTAACCAGTGTTTTATATATCGTAGTGAGAATAGAGATCTAACAATACCTGAATAGAATCGATTGTAGTAGATCTAGGACGTGATACGCACGAACGCTTTAATCTGATCACATATAAACAACACGTAACAGTTTTCATTTACCTTGGCGTATCCTTGGGAAGTTTCTGGCTTCGGCGGAGCATCAAATAAATTCAACCGAGAATTTTGAAAGAAATCCGAACTGGAGTTCTCTCTTGAAAACAGTTCTGCAGTGGAACTTTCTCGATTTAAAGACGGCCGTGCTTTTACGAATGGATTATTTCTTGCATTTTTTGCGTGTTTCAGCCAGTTAAATTTATTTATTTCAGGTGCGGGTGATGGCGATGGGGTATCTTCTGGAGTAGCGCTTGATGAAGGGGAGTCAGGTATTCCAGCCATTGAAATTCTTGGTTGCCAGATATTTAGAAAAATCTTTTAAAACTCTACTTATGCTGATAGAGCGTTAATAAAACTCTAATATGCTAAAGAGCCAGTAGAGTCGCATTCGATTTGAAATTCAAAGGCTTATCCTTTTTATCGGTTCACGGATACATTTTAAAATACAATGTATGAATTAAAACTGCAATTATTTTTCAGGCATCACTTATTTTGTAATTTATCACAGTAATACGATATTTTTAATAACTATTTCCACTATATTTAAATTTTAAATATAAATAAAAAGCTTTATATTATTAAGTACTTTGTTTTTCAAGAAATTCAAGAGAAACCAAGTATGTATAAAGTTGCAATTAAGCCCAATTCGAAACACGTCCGCGCGCATTTAAAAGCATCGCGATACTGTACCCTATATTAGGTCGAAGTTTAAACATGCGCGTGCGCAATTTACATGTGTATATAAAACGACTAAATTTGAGATAAATCTGTATTAGTGGTTCTGTATTGTGTATCTGTGACCTCCCAAACCACTATTAATGCATTATCAATTAAAATACTACAGTTACGATACGTCGATAAAAAAACAAACAGAATAATAAAAATAATTTTGTTATTAAAAATATTTATATATGATTAGTTCTAATGTAACTAAATAATACTACGAGTATAAAAATTTAAATATTATAGCATTAAATTATTTCCCAATATAATTATAAAAAATTATGATCATTTTCAATTCATACTTAAATCTTACATCAATGATGTGATGATACTTTGAAGATAAGTCGGCCGAACACCTAAAAAGGTTTCTAACATAGTCCACCAGTTGTATGGGATAATCTTAAGTTTATTATTTATATTGTTCATTCCAATGAATTTGAGTAAATTCTGATACGCCGGACGCCATTCTCGGATGATTTTGATATACATATTTCATCGACGTCAAAGATATGATAAATAGATGGCGCGTGAGTTGTTGCATACAACTAATTCCAGATTTGTCGGTATACAACAAAAACCAGTAATTTAGGTATTTGTGTATGAATATCATTTTATATACATAAGTAGCTTTTCTAGAATCCGAAATGCGTCAAGGTTTTAAGAAATTCTAAACTTATATGATTCATGCTCATAAAATCTTTTTAGTGTTATTCAATGTTGAGAAATGTGGTCTCGATAAGGATAAAAACATTTTATAACTCGAATAGGTTAAAAAAACTTCTCGCGTGCCAACTACTATTAAAAAAGTAACTTTTATGTTACATGGATGAATTTATTTTTTCTCTACATACCTATTTACGTAATGTCTTTCTATAATAATAATAATTATATGTATCTCAGTAAATTTTACATTTTTAGAAATCTTACTTTATTAATCAGCTGCACGTGTAAAAGCCATAACAAAAACCTAACTAATTCATCCACCAGTGGAAGTTATGGGAGGTCTCACCCGCATGTCGCACTTGGTGGTCCTCACTCCAATTTTATCTAATAACGTTGTGTTTAACGTTCCAGAACATAGTAGATAATAAGTTTTTGTTCCAAAACACTTTACGGCTCAAGCTTTCATAATCAATTACTTTCTCTTTATTATATGTGAAGATGATATGTAATGTGCTATGTATTCAGTAGCGATTGAATTAACTGTATTTTTGATTGTACACAATTAATTAAAATAATTGCTTGTTTATTTTAACACAGTAAGGACTATTTAGCATTTATTCACGTGATTTCCGGACTCCCAAAAAATACTTATTTTTGTTATTATAGTAGCGGCTCAACCTCGCTTCGCTCGGGTTCGCCTCTAGAAAAACATAAAATGTCTATCCCACAGGAACCGTACATTTCTCCGGTATAACAAATAGCCTATGTGTTATTGTGATGTATGAGCTTTATTATTATACAGTTTCAATAAAATCCATTCAGTAGTTTTTGCATGAAAGAGTAACAAACGTCCATACATCCAGACATCCATACATCCTTACAAACTATCCTTTTATAATATTAGTAGGATTATTATTATCATCTCGTATCTTGATATCATTTTGGGAACTTAAATTTTTTGTATGATATTTAATACGCAAATGTCTTAGGGTCAATAAATTTCATATTCATGAAGACAAAAATGTAGTTTCTTAAAGTCGTGACGCATTTAAAACCGCAGTGCAGCAGCAAAGGAACATGTGATTGCCTGGCATTTGTTGGATTGTTATGGTAATTTCTTATATATTCAGACTTACCTATATCGCCATATGATATTGTAGGCATTTCAAAATTCACCTGGTAACATTATTAAATGTATTTAAAAGCATTTGTTTTAAAGAAAATGCTTTGACCTACTACGAAAGGGACCTGACCTGCTTCTTAGATCATTTATTAACTTATTTTTTCCCTTGTAAAGATAATTGATTTTTTTTAGTACTATTATCGGGCATAATTTACTTCGCCAGTGTCGTATAGAATGGAGAAGACGCGTAAGAATAATATTGCCAAATACGTTTGATACAACGAAGGTAAGGTATGCCATAATTTATTTCTCAGAATCCCATGGTCGAAGTAAAAGATCGCTCGTTATGAGCGCAGACACCTGTTGCACTGCCTCATGTCAATGTCACGGTCAGTATCAGATTACAAACATGAATACCCCTTTGTATTTCTTATACAATGACACAGTTTTATGCATTTATCAGATGTAACTACCGTATATATGTAAACTTTGAATGATTTTGACATATATAACATCGTCATCATATAAATATCAACATCTTTATATATAATAAAATTCTAACTAAGCCGAATGTGTACATAAAATATATTTTTTATCTTAATGAATAGACATTATTATCGATACAGAGGCCGAATCTATAGTCTTTAGAATTTTTGTCTGTCTGTCTGTGGCTCCATCATGGAAAAACCACTGGAGGGATTTTGATGAAATTTTGTATAAAGATAGCTGGTTATCCGGGTCAACATATAGGATACTTTTTACTGCGGGATAAAGCCTCATCTCTGAGAAATCTATACTAAAGGTAAAAACGGAGGTTTAGGGACGAACCCGAGCGGAGCGACGGTGAGTCGCTAGTTATATAATATTTTTAACATTATTATACCGGCGCTACTAGTTAGGTAGGTATCTATGGGAATAAAACTAGTGTTTTTAAATGTCTAATATGCTTATTGCAATAATAAGCTCACTTAAATGAATTTTTAAGTAGTTTTCATAAATAATCAAGTCAAACATTGTCAGTGTAAATACAAGCTTAGAAATTAAGTACTTCCTGTTTTTTCTTTGTAAATAGCACATCATTTGTTAGGCGATTCGACGGCCATTGTTTATTGTATGCAGCTTTATAATCGTAACGTGTTCATGAGTCAATTAATGAAGTTTACTGTAATAATTATTATCGATACTTATCATCATAACTAGACACTACGTCTACGTCATCAGTGTTTTTTGAAGTTATACTTCTTTTGGCACCTTTAGAAAAAAATATGAGAGTAAAATTTTTACGATGCACGCGCACGCCGACAGCCAAAAAGCGACATGATGAAAAATTAGCTGCATTCCTTTTACAAAAGGAGAGTTGTGACATACGGGACGAAATCTTTAGCTAACTTTGTTCTGTTACGCCAAAGAAGTAGGTATAACTTCTTACGTGCGTACATAAGTACACACGCATTTTTTTATTTCTTCTTCTATCTTTTCATCTCATTCTTTATTCGTCTATGGTTATCGCAGCATATAGAACCAAAGTGACCCACTGGACCATGCCGCTAATAAACTGAAGAATTTGCTTAGAGCTACACTGTATAATTTCATCTGGACCTAGAGACTGTTTCCCAAAATGAATATTGCGCTTGTGCATAAGATGTCCACGATCACCTAGAAGATGAAGTGGCATTTCATCTGCCTCTTCACATCCTCTGCAGGTTTCTGTGTCACTCAACCTTGGGTTGAGCATGTGTTTCTCAGCAGTGTCTCTTTATGCCTCTTTAACGTCGTCAGTGATATTTATTATATGAAGATGAGAATATAATAAAGTTTCACTTACTAGTGTAGTTAAATCATACGCTTTAAAAAACTATATATTTTTCAGGATGTAAATACCCGTTTTCGCTTCATTTAGGATAATCCCTTAGTATTTTTTGCGAGAGAGTATCATCCTATAGAAAAGTAACCTTTATCTCACACTCTATCTTATAGATGTTTGCAAAAATCACGTCTGTGTCATGAAAAAAATCAACAAACAATTTCGTATTTATTAAACAGTAAGTAATAGTTAAAACTTGTGCACCTTATTCAGAAAATAGCGTAGAAAACCACTTTCATTGACTACAAAGGGTCAAGGAAAACACGTTAAGGGAAACACATTACTATATATATTAATGTCAGACTTCATGGTTTTCATATTACGGACACAAAGGACAACGCGCACCTGTTTTAGTAATACAGTATACCTATAATGTGTTTTTATAAACACTCCGTTAACTTTGGCGAAATAAAAACTTACTTGCGTTGCTCTGGAAGAGATTTATTTCTGTTAAGCCAAATATCCTAAATTTCATAATATTAACATAAGACTTATTTAGAAGAACTTAATTACATCTTTAATCTGGAAAGAGAAACAACATTTAAAGCTATTATTCCGCTAAATTACTTATTACAAATAAAACATCTAATCCAACTCTTTTACGAGTACTATTTAACACTCTCTACACACCACTGAAAACACATCAAAATGATAAAGTACATACACATCATATTCAATAATAAAGGGAAAAGATGGACTTCATTTACATAGATATATATATATGTATGTACTTATAAAATCTTTTCTTCAGAACAATATTTGAAGGCTGTGATAGAGTCCCATCTCCGGAGACAGTAAAAACTGACTAACTGAAGTTTAGTTCTGTGTTGTAAAGCAAAAATTAATCCAGATAATTATAGTTAAAGTTTAACAAACAGTTTTCTAATACTAAACCATGAACGATTTAGC